TCTGTCACCCTCGGTAGAGTGCCATGGCGTCACGCTCACAGCAATCTCCAGCTCTTGGGCTTAGGTGATTCTCTTTCCTCAGCCTCCCAAGTAGCTGAGACTACAGGCACCTCCTTTCTTAACCATAACCTCATCTCCTTTTTGGGGAAAGAGAGCTAGAAGTTAGTCATTGAGATGTCTCTCAATTCCATTCCACTTTTCAGAACATGATTTAAAATATTTGACTTAATATTTGAAACATTAGTGAGCATAAAAAATGTAGGTAGCATGGCAGATTCCACAGATCATGGAGTCCAGAGCTGGATAGATATATATTCTAATTCTTACTATGCTATTTATCAAATAACTGGCCTTGAATAAATTACTTTATCTATTTAGGCGTCAGTGTTCTTGTTTATACATTAGAAATAGTAATATCTCTATTCTATAATTTTTATATTAGATTAACGTACATAAAAGATAGTTTCACATTTAAATGTATGCACATTTATTATTTGGGAGGATTTGAAAGTTTAAAAAAAAATGTTTGAAAGTTTCCTAATCAAGTGTTTATCCTACCAGAAATTGTCATCCTGGCGGCAGTGCTCTCTAAATTTGAGTAATAGTAATTCATAAAGAGGCATCCCACTTGTGAAAAGTTGCCAATTCTTTCTGTGTTCCAAACTCATGGAATAGTTCCTCAATGTTTGCAAAATTGTCCTCAAGAAGGCAGTCAGTTATTGATCCCGCTTTGTGAAGCACAGGAAACTGGATGTAGGGTAGAGTGTTTCTAGGACATTTATAGAACTTTGTCTCCAATTGGCTGGGCGACCAGATGCTGAGTCATGTTTTCCAAAGCAGAATATTTCTGTAGAACTAGGCTGCAGAATATTTGTCTGCTGAGGATACTTGAGCAGGAAAAGTGGAGACGAATCCCTTGGCATTCGTCCCTCTCTCAGAGGATGAGAAGATATTCTGAACAGTCTGGGGCAGTAATGAGGAAAAGGAGGGATCCAGTCAGAAACTTCTAGGCTTTATTTAGGGATGTGTGAAAGAAAATGTAAACTCTGTAGAGAGACTAATTTTTATGTTTGACTCTTTCTAAGCAGGAGACAGCAGCAGATTGCACATGAAACAGAGTTCTCAGTCCCCATTCAGTGGGCAGAGAGCACAAATTTTACCTGTAGCTTCCTTTACAGCTTGCTTTTTGCCTTACGCTGGTACAGATGGGAAACTGGGGTGGGGGGGGGAAGCTCTATATTCTACTAGTAATGACTTTAAATGGGGATTTAAAAAGGAAGGGTAAATACATATCACTCTTAAAACATTAGCGTATCCCAGCTCGATGACTCAGCCTCACACCTCTGTGCCTTGACACAATGGTCTTCAGGTACCTGCAGCCCAAACCCAAACTTGGCTCTGGTGTTGCTCAGCACCCAACATCAACAAAGAACCATGTGTAGGACAGAAAAGGAAAATCCAGTGAATTATAGTTTCTTCAAGGGGATTATGCAACATAGAAAAACAAACATGCTAGTTATCATAACTCCTTCAACTAACTGAACTCTTAGAAAACATTGCTAAGCCTGACCCCCAACAATACATGAACCATATTGTTGAGTCATGGTCATTGTCTCCTTTTTAGGCATGATTCTGAATGAACTAGACAGTTACTCAAATCTATCTAAAATAATCTGAGTAAATAAAAGTCTTATTTACTCATCATTGTTGCTGGATCCTGGAAGCGAGTTCTTCCACCAATGGCCTCATGATCAGAACTGGAGCAGATAGATGTGGCATTTCTTTATATACCTTGCATGAGAATTTGCATGTTTGGTATCAGAACAGGTATGCTGCCTCGTTTAATCTGTGGAGGATTCTGTTTTGCTTTAGTTCAACCTTCTTTTACATGAACATTTGCATTTCATTTCTTCTCACATGTGTCTATTTTCATTTTCTAAAAAGCATTCATGATACCATAAAAGAAGACTAGGTACAGGTCTCCAGCAACTAGACAGCAGGGAAAAAATGCTCATTATTGTTAATCATCAGAGAAATGCAAATCAAAACTACTTTGAGATATCATCTAACTCCAATAAGAGTAGCCCACATAACAAAATCCCCAAACTATAGATGTGGGCGTGGATGTGGAGAGAAGGGAACACTTCTGCACTGCTGGTGGGAATGCAATCTACTATGTCCCTTCTGGAAAGAAGTTTGGAGAACACTTAGGGAACTAAAAGTAGACCTGCCGTTCAATCCTGTAATTCCTCTACTAGGTATATATCCAGATGACCAAAAATCACTTTACAATAAAGACATTTGCACAAAAATGTTTATTTCAGCCCAATTCATAATTTTCCAGTCATGGAAGCAGCCCAAGTGCCCATTGACCCATGAATGGATTAACACATTGTGATATATGTATACCATGGAATATTATGCAGCCATAAAAAGATGGAAACTTTATCTCTTTTATGTTTACGTGGATGGAGCTGCATCATATTTTTCTTAGTAAAGTATCTCAAGAATGGAAAAAAAAATACCCAGTGTACTCAATACTATTATGAAATCAATATATAATCACCCACACTTTCATATGAAAGATAAAACACAATTATAGCCCAGAAAGAAGGAGAGAGGAGGAGGGAGGGGTAAGAGAGGGGGATGGATGGGTGGAGGGAGGGTAATCAGTGGGACCTCACCTACTGTGTTTATTGCAAGCGTACATGTCAAATATATTAATAGTAGAGTATCAATGTCTAAACACAATAATTAAATAAGTGAGGCGAATGATCTGTTAAGTAGTTTGATGTAAACATTCCAAATTATCTATAAAATCAGAACATTGTACCCCATAAATGCAGCAATGCACACAGTTATGATCTAATAAAAAAGAAGAAAAGTGGTAGGGGATATTTACTAATAAATGTGACCTATTTTGTCCCCCACCTTGGACTGTGATTATGATATTGAATAACTGAACTCTGTTATTGAAATTTTTTCCTTTGTACAGGTATCAGAAATCTGTTCCCTTTGCAGATTTCCAAACAATCGACTAGTTCAAGGCAATTTTGATACTCTAGAGGTGTCTAATTCGGAGCTTCTGGAGTGTTTTTCAACATGAATTAACTTGTTTCTGGGCTTCCTCAACTGGTATCTTGAGTTTTGACCTCCAGACATCTCCATTAATGACTGCTTATCCATCTTCTAGCCAGTCTCCTGAATGATGATATATCACTTTTCCTATTCTTTGTGTGTGTGTGTGTGTGGCTTTATGTATTTAAGAATATTATTATTGTCAGTATCACATATTTAGAAAAAACATCCTATGTATGTTAAAAGCAATACAGGATTGCATACAAATCCCTTAGACCAACGCATTTAAGAGAGACATACACATAAAAAGACATTTTTTTCAAAAATTATTCACATGCTAATAATGAGTCTATCAGACCATCGGATTGGGATTGCTTAAATCTGTAATATTATTTGAATGTGTATGTAGAATTGGAAGTGTGTAGCACAGGACTGAGTGAGAGAAGCTATGGTGCATTGTCCACTAGTGCTGGTGGGATAAAACAACACAAAAGAAGAGCAACCATTGTTCCAGCTGCCAGTTACCTTCCCACACTGGGTTTCCATCATTGTTGGCATAAAGATCAATGGAAGAATTTCTAATATTACAAGTAATGATCCTGTACCTTTAGCTGACTCTGAATTGATAAAAACAAAAAGCTCAAGTAAAAAGTAAAAACAAGACTTGCTCATTTGTGCACATATAGAAACGGATTACATTCATACAGCACTCTAGTGGAGAATGGTGCTACTTGAAATTGGCCCCTGACTCCCACTTCCATGAGCCTCTGCCTGCCTTAGGCTGTGAGGGGATCTCCTCCCCTCCACAGCCAATCCTGGAGGTGGCAGTGTGTAATTTGGCCATCAGATTGGGATTGCTTAAATCTGTAACATTCTATCTGTAACATTAAATCTGTGCTATACATTTCCAATTCTACACGTAACAGAAAATCTACTGTTCTAAACATGCAGAAAATGCAAATCTGTGGTGCAGAGTCCATGCAAAAACACTCATTGCTTTATAAAAGCTGTGAGTAAATGAGGAAATATAAACCCAAATTTTCAGTTTCCAGGTTCTAAAATTGATCTGAAATTGAAAATAATTAGTTAAATTTAGACTATTTATAAAGACACAGGCAAACCCTTGTAAATAGCCCCTCATCATTTTTTAAGTTTAGTCACATGGAATAAGAAGAATGAGTTGAAATATAAAAATCATATTTAATAAGGAATACAGATCTCTGTGTAGTGTAAGTTCCCACCTGCATGATCGGCCACCTGTTCCTGTGCTGTGCAAGTGCAGAGTGGTCCCAGCCCCTGAGCTTTGCCACCAGGTCTTCTGTGCAGAAGCACTAAGATGATATTGGAAAAGGATGGGGAAACAGGCAGATCAAGTTATCAAAGATGATTGGAAGTCAGACAGAGGAAACGTACAGTGTCACTGTTGATTTCTCACAACTTCTCAAAAACATTGTTTTTTCACAGGACTTTAGTGCTTTGGGGGTTTGTTGCATTACAAACCACAAACTAAAACCTGGTGGCTTAAGACAACTGTGATTTTAAATCAGAGAATCCATTTTTAAAAGGCAAATTATTCCTCCTTGAATAATATGAGTACCAGTAAACTCTTTCCTTTCGAGTTTTGACACATATATATCTCACCTAAATTAGAAAGCAATTTTAAGAGAATCTCTGTGCTGAAACCATCAGTTTTTGAGCCCAGCGCCAGGGGGCAGCACCTGCAGACATAGACTCTCCTCTGAAGTGGGTGGGTTAAGTTTGATTGGTTGTCTCAAATTACCGTCACCCTTCTCCCCTTCCCAAAATGTACACTGCTACTTTACAAAATAGACCACAAGTATTTCTTTGGATCTGGAAGAAGCTTGTACAAAGGAAACCCATTTAGGTGTAGTTAGATTAAACAACTCTTTCTGAAGAAGAAGGAGACGGAGATGCTACTCACTGTACCATTGTTGATCTTATGGCTGCAACTGACACGTGAGTTTGAGACCCGCCTGATTGCTTTCAGAAAGTCCAACATAGTAGACAATTATCCACAGGTAAGGAATAGACTTTCTGTTTGAGGGAACAAAGAAAAAAAAAAGAAGGAAAGGGAAGAAACATGAGGGTAGAAGGAGATGGGAGGGAGGCATGGAAAGAAAAAGAAAAATAGACACAGACAAGAAGAATGGGAGAGACTCTGAAGCTCAGGGACTGGAGATCTGTCCCGATTTTATCTGATGCCTCCCATTGTCTTTCTGAACAGAACTGAAAGGACAACAGCTGAAGCAAACTCCTCAGTTCCAGTATATCCGGGAAGGAGAGAACTTCAGCACATACTGCAATGCCTCAAGCTTTTTAGACAGTGTACAGTGGTATAAACAGAGGCCTGGAGGAAGTCCTGTCTTCCTGATGCTGTTAACAAGGCCTGGAGAAACGAAGGAGAAAAGACTGACAATTCAGTTTGGAGAAAAGAGAAAAGACAGCTCTCTGCACATCACAGCGGTCCAGACTGCAGATGTGGGAACCTACTTTTGCGCAGTGGCACAGTGTTCCTCAAGCACCTGCTGCCTGTCCCCAAACCTTGCCTTGGGGCCTCAGGGGCAGCCCCTCCCATTCTCCTTGCAAAGCATGAGCCAGAGAGAGTTGAAGTCACAATGTCAGTGAGGATGTAGTGCAACTCGTCTCCATGTGCAGTAGAAATGCAGTGGAAATTCACTCTATAAGACCTGGAAGAGTTTGACATTTTTGCTTCGTAAAACTCAACTATTTCTTCTATGCAGATGTCTCCGGGAATTCCAATTGCCCCAGGAAGAATCCACAGGTTTTGAAAAATTGTGTGCTTCTTTCGATGATGAAGAATCTTCACCAGAGGTTTCCAAACAGTTTCTTTAACGTTTTAACCCCACTGTAATGTAGAAGGTTTGGAAATAGAGCATTTTTCACTTTGTACTCAAAATTTAAAAGCTTACAGCCACCTCCCTGAAGAGTCACCACAGAACTCATCTGCCTCAATGCAGTGCAGTTCAACCTAACATGAAGATCATGCACGAGGCAACTACCTTTCCAGAGAAATTTCTTTTTAAAATAAGGAGCTCAGAAGAAACCAGGAGCTCACCAAGAGGTTTAGCCATGATCTCTTGTTTTCTCTCCCCAAGCTCAGACGAAGTTAATGATGTAATATCTGGTCACCATGTTAACCATTCTCATCATGGGAAAAAGATATTAGTCATAAATTTTTAAGATTCCAAAATATGTCCATTAATTGGACCAATTACCCTGTTTCTCTGAACTTATAAAGATATTTGTCCTGAGAAAAGGAAGAAAAAAATACAACTGCATTATAGAGGTTGAACAGTAAAATTAAGTGAGATTTTTACGTCACAGCTGAATGGCCAAAGTGAAGTTTTTATATCTTTGTCATTAAATATTTTATACACATAGGAATTACTGTAGACCAGGAGTGGTGGCTCAAGCCTTTAACGCTGGCACTTTGGAGGGAAGACTGGAGGAGCCTGAGCCCCAGAGTTCAAGGCTGTAGTGAGCTATGATGATGTACTGTATTTTAGCATGGCAACAGAGTGAAACCCCACCTCAAAAAGTAAAAGAAAAAGAAAGGAAGAAAGAAAAGGAAGGAAGGAGGGGAAATTATTATAATGAAAATTTTATAACACGGGAATTAATTTAATGTATCAAAGGAACAAAGCCAAATATAAACTATGGTACTGTACCACTTATAAAGTAATGCATGCATACAGAAAAATAAGGATGGGAGCTCACACACGTTTAGGTTAATTTCTTAGAGTAGTGTAGTTATTTGATCATTTTCATCCATTATAAGATTTCTAAGACTATTACAACATTATACCAGAAATGGACACATTAAAGTTATTTTCAAAAAATTTCTTTCTTCTCTCTGCCACAGTCTTGACCCATTTGCACCTTGGTCCTCTCAAACTATCACCTCTTTTCCTTTTTCTTGGATCTTCATCTCACCGAGTGTTATCCTCTTTCTCTTTTTTCTTTCATGTTTTCTGTTGTTTTTCTGCTCAAGTCACTCTAAAGTAAAAGATAAATGAACAAAATAACAAGCATTGGAAAACAGAGATGAATTCAAAAAAGACTCATAAGTAATTCGGGACAGAGAAATAAAAAACAATGCCTGTGATAGCCAGTAGGGAAATGATTCTATCCATCAAAACAGTGGCCAGAGATGATTTCACCTGTAAAGAAAAAATCTTACCTGTGTAATTAGGATTCAGTTTGGGCTCTTTATCAAATTTAAACAGAGTATGGTCTGATAATTCTTGATTCTCTTCACTAATTGTTTTTCTTTCCTTCCCAGTACCTCTGTTATTAAGCACATATAAAGGGTTCTGATCCGTTGACTCTTGGACAATTTCTTCCTAGGACATGCCATGTACAGGACAAGGGGCCAGCTGATCATTTCAATTTGACTGTAGTATTGAAGGGAATTGATTGACTTCTTCCTCCAAAAGGTCTTTCTTCACTGATTACTTGAAGACCTTTCCCAAAGCCTACATACACCTAGTTCAACTACTTTTTGAAAGCATACCAGCAGAATCTGTTTAAAAGACCTCTTTCAGAAGGCATTAATTATGCCCTTTTTTGCCCATATCCAACTTGAATCTCCGTGCTGTAAAAAGAGCGGTTCTTCCTTAGGTCTTTATCTTTACGCGGCCCATTAGTCAACATCTCTGTTTTTCTCCCTTGCTCACAAAAGATAGGAATAAAAACAAGTGATAATAATAATACTTTATGAAACAGATACTACAATTCCCAGTTTGTAAGTGAAGAATGTGAAACCTCAAGAGGTGAGGTGACTTACCTCTGCTCACCTCTAAACATGACTATAATTCAAATATATCAATTGCTGGTTAGGCTGCAGATCAACTAGAATTCTCACTCATTGCTTGTCAGAAAGAAAAATGGTGAACCCTTTGTAAAACAGTTTAGCAGTTCTTATAAAATTAAACTTTCACTTACAACATGATTCAGCAATCCCTCAGCCAATAGGAATAAAAGTTAAGTTCACATAAAAATTTATCTGTGAATAAATTTTAGCAGCTTAGTTCATAATCCCTAAAAACTGGGAACAACCCAGATGTTGAACTGGAGCGTGGACAAAGTGCAGAATAGCCATATGAATGAGTAGAACTCAGCAATAAAAGGAATGAATTATAGATTCAGGCAAAAGATGGATGAATCTTCAATGCACTTTAGTAAGTACAAGAAACAAAGACCAAAAGACTACAAATTGTGTGATCTCATCCCCATGACATATGGACTGAGGCAAAATTATAACAATCGGAAACAGATCAAAGGATTGCCTGGGGTTGGCAAGAACTGTACCACAGAACTCGTTCCACAAAGAGTAAATTTTACTGTGTCAATTAAAAAGAATCAGATTGTGAATGGAACCCCAAATGAAATAGGACTATAACACATAAACCTAACTGTATTACAATGATTAATACACATACATCCATGCTGAAATTCCTTAGTAGAGAAAAAATTAACCTACATAACTTTTGAAAATAGTATTTTGAGTGGATACACTAAAGCTAAAGGCAAAAGGGGGCACACACATACCATTCTCTAGTGAGTAAATTTGTTTCTTATGGGTTAGCAATTCTTGAGCTAATTTATGTTTACTATTAGGAAGTATAAATAAAATATGTAGTAGATTAAAAGAGCCAGATTCCTCACTGTTGGGAGGAGAAGTGACAAAATAATGAAGTGGGAGGTTATACAAACCCAGTGGAGTTGGATTGAAATATGAGGTTTCAATATGAACTCATTTTTTAACATATATACACATAGGTTAACACAAAAGTAAAATTATTAGGAGATTGTGCTTCCTGATGCCCAACGACAAAGGATAAACCTTTACTTCCTTTATTTGAATTGATTCAAAAGCCTAAGAGAATCTTCAGCAAAGCAGATAAGAAATGTCAGGAAGACCTAGGTGATCCTGACGTTAGGAAAGCTGCGGTATTTTATTTGTGTTGTCAACACACCCAGTTCTGATCAATTCAGCATATTTCTTTGGCTTTTTATACTGAGGCAAGATTTACAAAAAGTAAAATAAAATGCCCAAACCTTGGGTGTGCGGTTTGGTGAATATTCACTCATGCATATACCTGTGTAATAATCTTCCCCCAATCAAGACGTACAATATTTCCACCAACACAGAAATTCTTTCATTCCTCTTCACAATCAATACCCACTCCAAGATAAAAACTGCTTGATTTCTATCACCTTAGATTAGTTTTTCTTTTTCTAAATTTCATATAAATGGGATCATTTTTTATGTTTCTCATGTGATTGCTGTTCCATTACATGAATATTTCTTTCTGTGCATTCATTTCTCTGGTAATGGAAATTTGTGTGGTTTCCAGTTCAGAGCTACTATGAGTACAACTGCTGTGAACGTTCTTACATGAGTCTTTTTGTGGACATGTAAACTCGTTGAACATTCTTGTGCAAGTTTTATTGTTGGGGTAGAATTATTAGGCCACAGGATAGGCATATATTTGACTTTATTAGAAACTTACAATTTTAAAGGTTATGCATTTTATACATCCCCCAGAATTGTAATAAGAGTTTCAGTTGCTCTATAATCTTATTAGTACTTAGTATTGTAACCCACATTTTTAATTAAGCTTTTTAATTTTGAGATAATTGTAAACTCACATGTGTTTTAATAAATGAAAGAGATACTGTGTACCCTTTACTCAGTTGACTCCAGTGGTGACATCTTGCCAAACTGTGGTACAATAGGATGACAGGATATTGACATTGATACAGTCAGGATGCAGAGTACTATCATCAGCCCAAGGATGCTTCCTGCTGGCCTTTTACAGTCACATCCATTTCCTTCCTGTCCCTACCCCTTCTCTGGTCCCTGGGAACTACTAATCTGTTCTACGTTTCTATAATTGTATCATTTTTAAGAATGTTACATAAATGGAATCCTACTAGAGAGTACAGTCCTATAACTCCCTAAAACTCTGTTCATTTTTTATCACTCTGTTTTCTCTTTATTATTCAGGCTGAGGGATATCTTTTGTTCTGTCTTCCAGTTCACCGATAATTTTCTCTGCTCCTCCCAGTTTGCTATTGAGCCCAACTGATGAGCTTTTTATTTCAGTCATTGCCATTTTAAAATTAATATTTTCACGTGATTCTTACAGATTTTGCTTCTTTGCTGAGACTATTTCTAATGCTTTCTATTTTTTCAAAGTATTTTAAAGTGTAATTTTTAAAAAGTATTTTAATCATGGTTCCTTTAATACCTTGATTAGATAATGCTACCATCTCTGTCATCTGAGAATTGGCACTATTGTTTATAAGATATTTCTGGTTCTAAGTATGATGAGTAATTTTTTATTGAAATCTAGACATTTAACTATTGCATTTGCGCCTCTGGATCTTAATGAAACTTCTGTGTATCTGGCATTTTCTGATAACACTCCAGCAGGAGGAGGGGAATAATACTGTCTTGCTACATAATGGAGACAGGATTCCAGGATCTGCATTTGGCCTCCACTGACATCAGAGAGTAAGACAGATCCTCAAACTGACACTCCTCAGTCTCTAGATAGTCAAATTTCTGTCAACAAGTCTGACACTGTCATTTATTT